GGCCCGCAGCCCGATTTATAACCACTACGCTACCAGAGCCTAGTCCCTAGGCAAGCAAAAAAAACAAAACACTAAATTAGTTCCATGTGCTGAGTGTGGGGTTAACGTGCTGGGCAGCTAAGGAAGAGGTCAGCAGTTTTAACCCAGCAGTCTGCTTCCCCAAAGTTGACCGCCTCGGAAACCCTATGGGGCAGTTCTACCTGTCCTATAGGTCACTGTGAGTCAGAATCCACTTGGTGGTGGTGGGTTTTGTTTTTTATTTTTGGTTAAGCCCTGGGGAAGCAGGCCTTGTGTGGTGTAGACAATGACGTGCTCCACTACTAACTAAATGGTTGGAGGTTAGAACATGCACAGAGGCACCTTGGGAGAAAGATCTGGTGATCTGCTTCCAAAAGGTCACCACCTTGGAAACTTGATGGAGAACACAAAACCTATTACAGGCAGGCAGCTGAGGCCTTCCAGGCTATAGGTAATGGAGCCGGCCACTGGCTCAAGGACAAAGAACCAGAGGTCAAAGGATGAGCAGATGCAAGATTCAGACCCAGCAAGCAAGTCTTGCCTTAGTGTCTAATACATTGGAAGCAGGCCACATCCCCAGGAAACTTCCTTTCAATTGATTGGCTGCTCATAACCAATCACCATAGAGTTGATTACGTCATATTCGATCTCATCATGAGGGGAAGCTGTCAACTGTCAAACCACAGAGAATCCTGGCTCCTTCAAATAGTCACAAAACCGCAACGATCACACACACTGATACATTAGCTACAAGGATCTAATTAGGGAGAACTTTCTAAGCGCCACTGTTGATTAATGATTGATTGCTGTTGAAAGCTATTATTATGCTAAATTCCATCAATAAATACTAAAGCAACTCTAGTGGACCGTTCATGGTTCCAGGGCCTAGACAGCAAACAAAACAGACAGAAACCCCAACCCACGTGGAACTCAGTCCAGACCATTGCTTTCATGACAGCTTCCTGCAGAGGAAGGGATTGGCAGATTTTATTGTCCTTAAAAATCTCCACTTAGGCAGTTCCAGGTGACTTGTAACTCTAGAAGGTTCTGGAACACTGTGGTCCACTAGGCCACTCTGGAATCATGGGGATGTGCTATTCAGCCTTGTCCAATATAGAAGACACCAGCCCCCCGTGGTTCCTGAGCATGTGAAATGAGGTCTGCATGCCTGAGAAACCATGTTTTCAATTTAATTTCATTTAATTAAAATGTGAAAATACCAATGTGTGGCTAGTGGCTAGCGGATGGTAGGGAGAGAGAGATCATTAACAAGAGGTTGCGGGGTAGAAGAACTAGATGGTGCCCACTACCGCTGCTGACCACTATAGACGGACCCCAATAGAATGGAAGAGAAATGTGGAACGGAACCTTAAATTCCTAAAACAAACATATGGAAACATTCTTAGTGGAACAGTTGAGACTGGAGGCCTCCCCAAAACCATCGCCCTGAGACACTCTTCAAACCTTGAACCAAATTGAATCCCAGTTCACCTTGAAGCTAAATAACACATTGGCTAAAATAATCATAATTAATATAACCCACAAGAAAACAATGGGGAGAAAATAATGCAGGAATGGGGATGGGGAGGTGAAGAAGTTTTGAATTGGGAGGTCAGAGGGGGCCTGTGAAAGGTGATGAAGGAGCCAGCCATATGAATTGTACAAGGACAAGCATTCCAGGCAGAGGGAACAGCATACGCAAAGGTTCTGAGGTCAGAGCATGGTTGGTGGGTGAGAAGAGTAGCAGGGAGACCCCAGAGGCTTGTTGATGAGCCTAGAGAGGGAGCAAAGTGGTGCCATGCAGAATTGGTTTTTTACGCTGAACCCAAAGGTGAGTTTGAGAAGGATGGTACAATCTGATTGAACAGTTTGAACAAGCCTCACACTGCCTGCCTGGTTAAGACAAGACTTCATTCAGCAGAGGAGGGGTAGAGTATATAATTACCAAGGGAGTAACCAATAAGCAAGGTAAGAATGGCTTGCAAGTGCGTACTCATTTGTAGTGAACAGTGGTGGGGAGAAACCGCCCAGCAGAGATTAGTAAGTAAACACAGGTCAGTCTATGCTTACCTTGCTGGCTGGGTCCACCAGCCCTGTCAGGGATTATAAATTGGAAAAGAGGTTTTGATTTTGTAGGAAGGTGCTGTGGGCTTTGGAGAGATACAAATGCCAGTCACATTTAGGAGTATAAGTTCTGATGTGGTGGGGAAAATGTGAAACTGTTCACTACAGATGAGTGAGTAAGCACAAACCAACCCATGCTTACTGGGTAATTTGATGCTGGACAGCGGAAGGGGACAGCCAGCTAAGAGACAGCTGGGATGACACGGGCTGCCTCTGGCTTAGATGTGGTGCTGGCTGATTCTGGATGTATTTTGGGTGTTGTCGATGTGCAGTCAGAGAGCATGGATGTGAGGCTGGCTCTGAGGTTTGGAACCAGAGCAACTGCAAGCACGGAACTGATTTGGGAGGGGAGCTAGGAGCCCAGGGTTGGCCAGCTGCATTTGACGCCTCACCTCTTAGCTGTCTAAGTAGGACCTCTGGTAGCGTAGTGGTTACGAATCGGGCTGTGAACCTCAAGGTCAGCAGTTCGAAACTACCAGCTGTTCCGTGGGAGAAAGATGAGGCTTTCTGCTCCCGTAAAGATTTACAGCCTCAGAAACCCTGTGCAGGGTCGCTATGAGTCGGAACCGGCTCCACGGCACATAACAACAACAAGCTAAGTGGAGAGTGTTAGCAGGGGGCATTTGGAGAGACTCAAGGTGGTACAAACAGTGAATGGATTCAACTGCTGACCCAAAGGCCAGCGGTTTGAATTCACCCAGAGATGCCGCGCAAGAAAAGTCTGCTTCTGAAAACTCAGCCGCTAAAAGCCCTTTGCGTGAGCACTGTTCTACTCTGATGCACGAGTCAGAGTCAGAGTCGATTCCACGTACCTGGTTTGTTTGTTTGTTTATTTGTTTACTAGTCTCTGAGCTAAGTACTGCTAGCAGCCCTGTTTGCAGCTGGGGAAACTGAGGTTCATGGAGACATTTTTCAGCCCCCAGCTCGGGTTAGCTGCCTGGAGTCCCAGAGCCTCTCTGCCTTGTTTCTCCCCAACCCGGGCAGTGGTCAAGCCGGAGGTGCTACAGAAAGCAACCGTGGAGCTGTTGGACCAAGCCTTGTGTATCAGTCTTTACGGTCACTCGCTCACAGACAGGATGGTATGCGCTGGCTACCTGGACGGCAAAGTGGACTCCTGCCAGGTGAGTCCTGGGAACCCGCTGAATGAGCCTGTGACTAAGTCAAGACCGTACTGCTTTGTTGTTGTTGTTGTGAAGTGCCGTGGAGTCAGTTCCGACCCATAGCAACCTAGTATAGGGTTTCCAAGGAGCAGCTGATGAGCTTGAACCACTGACTTTGCAGTCTGATGCATTAGCCCACATTTAGAAGGGTTTAAAAAGGAAGAAAGAAAACAAAGAAAAATAATGGTCTAGAATCTTCTAGAAAGAAAGGGAAAAAATGGAATATTCTATAGCAAAATAAGTATGTTCTAAATCAGAAAGGGGTTTGGGAACCATTCCAGTTTGTTTCATTCCTTACTCCTCTCAAAAGGAAGTTCAGTCCCCTCCCCCAGAAAACACACACAAATGGGTTGTGGTTACTTCTAAAGGAATTGGGGCAGTGGGGGTATACCAAACTGGGCACAGGAACTGATTTGCTCTGTTTTTCAACGGACCATGATGATCTGGTAGTTATTGAGAGTTGCCGTTGAGTCGAGACCTACGTACAAGAGAATTAAACACTGCCTGAACTTGTACCATCTTTACCTTTCTGGGTATTCTGAGTGCCTTCCCCCCTAAGGGGGCTCACCTTCCAACACTATACCAGGCAATGTTCTGTTGTGATCTGTATGTTTCATTACTTGATTTCCAGAAGTTGATCGCCAGGTCTTTCTTCCTAGTCTCTCTTAGTCTGGAAGTTCCACTGAAAACCTGTCCACCATGGGTGATCCCTGCTGGTGTTTGAAATCCTGGTGGCATAGCTTCCAGCATTCCAGCAACAGACATACCAACACAGTACATGTTGGCAGACGGGCATAGGGTGATGGTTTTAGAAAAACCCAACAATGGCTGTGCTGTTTTCTTTATTTACAGTGACCCAGGTAACCCACGATGCTCAAAGGCAATCCCTGTGCTTGCCAATGACTCGCAGTTCCAGGGCCAGGGTGCCCTGAAAGAAGTCTTTTTGTTATTGCTAAATGTCATCGAGTCGGTTCCGACCCACAGCGACTTTGTTTAGAGTTTCCCAGGAGTGGCTGGTGAGCTTGAACCACATCTTTCTAATTGGAGCTTTGAAATAGCTGCTGACACTTTGGGTCTTCACAGATTTTTTCCTTTAAAGTAGCTCAGTGCTCCAGGGTGACCATCTTTCCTCTTTGGGCTTAACTGTTACTTAGCTTAAAGGTGACTTCAAGGGAGAGTTTTGATTCAAGGTTTGAAGAGAAAAATTAGGACCAGGGTCTTCAGCCTCAATTGGTCCATAGTCCTGCTTTGTGAGGGTAAGTAGAAAGATACACTTACTGAGTCATGTTGTTGTTGTTATGTGCCGTGGAGTCGGTTCCAACTCATAGTGACCCTGCACAGGGTTTCCGAGGCTGCAAATCTTTATGGGAGCAGAAAGTTTCATCTTTCTAGCACGGAGCAGCTGGTAGTTTCAAACTGCCGACCTTTAGGTTAGCAGCCCGATTCATAACCACGATGGTACCAGAACTCCTTACTGAGTCATAGAAACCTTTAATTAAACAAAAATATCTAAATCTGAAGCTGCTGCTTCTTGACATATCCCCCATCTAGGTCTGTACATTTTTGAATGTGGCATTTCCATCTCTCTAGAAGGATATCAAGGAGCTCTGGTAGCGTAGTGGTTACGAATCGGGCTGCGAACGCAGGTCAGCAGTTTGAAACTACCAGCTGTTCCTCAAGAGAAAGATGAGGCTTTCTGCTCACATAAAGATTTACAGCCACGGAAACCCTGTACAGGGTCGCTATGAGTCGGAACCGAGTCCATGGCACATAATAGCAACATCAACAGAAGGATATCATGTTTGGTAAGGTGGAGGGTCAGAGAAAAAGAGGAAGACCCCCAACGAGATGGATTGGCCAAGTGGCAACATCGATGGACTCAAGTGTGGCAACAGTAGTGAGGTTGGCCCAGGATCGGGTAGTGTTTCGTTCTGCTGTGTGTAGTAGGGTTGCTATGAGTCAGTACCGACTCAATGGCACCTAACAACAACAATAATCCTTCTAGGGAGTCCTGGTGTGGCGCTGTGGGGTAATGCGCCAGACTGCAAAGCCGTTTGAACTACAAGGTCGGCAGTTCAAGCTCACCTTCTGCTCCTCAGAAACCCTATACAAGGTGACTATGGGTTGGAACCAACTTGACGGCACTTCACAACAACAACCTTCTAGGCCTGGTGTGGCGCTGTAGGATAAGCACTGGCCCACAAAGTCGGTTTGAACCGAAAGGTGGTAGTTCACACTCACCAGCCACTCCTTGGAAACCCTATGCAGGATCGCTATGAGTCAGAACTGACTCAACGGAACTTAACAACGAATGACCCACCCCACCTTCTCCCCCCCAAAACTCTGCGCTCCTTGATTTACACCACGTCCAAATGGCAGTTTGCCACCCTCAGGTACTCAAATCATCTTCCTTTCCAGTGTTCTTGGAGTTTGGGGAACAAAAGGAAGAATGAAGGGGAAAGATTAGGACTGTAGGGTGGATGAGATGAGGTTTCCCAGTGAAATTCTCATAGGCTAGCCCTTATTTAGTACCCTCGAAGAACAGGCAGGTGGTGCAACTTTCCTGGCCTTTGTCTCATCAGTGCATCCTCAATTTCCTTAAAACTTCTACCTAATAAACCTTCATAATAGTCCTGTATCCTTTAAAAATAGATGGAATCCTGGTGTGGCGCTGTGGGTTCATGCGCCACACTGCAAATCCGTTTGAATTGCAAGGTTGGAGGTTGAAGCTCACCTTGGAAACCCTATACAGGGTTGCTATGGATCGGAACCAATTCGATGGGATTTAACAACAATAGCATCAAGATGGTCGCTTTAGAATCCCCCACAAAATGTCGTCATAACGTTCTGAGCTGACCTCTCGGTCTTGAATTGAACTGGTCCACCCGATTGCCTCAGAAACCTCTGTTTGGGTTAGATCTTTGTGTTTTGAAGGCATCCTACTGAGACTAACCCTAGAGTATTACCACGAGAACTCGGCTGCTGCCCTCCACTGATTGCAGAAACATGCACGTCTTGATTGGGGCCAACCCTGCATGCATGAACTAGAACCCTAGGAGAAATACTTTTTTTTGTTTTAACTTTTTATTATGAATTGAGTGAAGGTTTACAGACAAGACCATCAGTTTTACATTCAACAAGTCGTCCACTTCATTTCATCTCAGTGATTACCGTCTCCCCCATGTAACAACAGTTCTCCCGCTTCCTCTCTGAGCTTCCTCTTTCCATTCCCCCCACCTTCCCAACCCTTCCCACCTTTGTCCTTAGAAAATGTGGCCCTTTTGATTTTGAATGGTGAGCAGACCTCACTAACAACTAGTGTTTTTATCCCCACTATAAACCTACCTACTGCTTGGCGGAAGATGGGGCCACATGGGTGAGTTCCTTTCCAGACCTGAAGGGTGCTTGAGGGCCACAGTCTCAGGTTCCTCCTGTCTCTGACCAGTAAACCTGGTCTTTTTTAAAAAAAATAATAATAATTTTGAGTTTTGCTCCATACATTCTACCGCTCCATCCGGGACCTGCTAATGTGATTCCTTTCAGAGCAGTTGGTACTGGAAGCCGGGCACCATCTACTTCTTCTGGTCTCAGAGCCAGGGAGACTGATGGTCACATGTTGTATTAATTAGTCCACTGGACTTACTGATTCGAAGCCTCTTCGATTCTCACCGCTCTTCTTTCTTCTGCACAGATAACAGGACTTTTTGATTCCCCCTCATGTTTTTACAGAAGATAAGACTGAGGCTCTGAGAAGGGGATTCTCCACCCAGATTTGCTCCATGAACTTGTCAACAGAGAGGGTTCCCAGCCCCAGCCCAACACTGCTGCCCTAGGCTGAACTGGCTGCCCCGGGGGGAGACTCAGCCCATGGTAAACACCTGCCTTTGTTTCCTAGGGTGACTCAGGAGGCCCCCTGGTCTGTGAGGAGCCTTCCGGAAGGTTCTTCTTGGCGGGCATTGTGAGCTGGGGGATTGGTTGTGCGGAAGCCCGGCGGCCAGGTGTCTACTCCCGAGTGACAAGGCTTCGTGACTGGATCCTCGAGACCATGGCCACCACACCCCTGGCCCCCACCATGGCTCCTGCTCCCACCACCCCCAGCAGTGCCCAGCCCACCAGCCCTGAGAGCCTCATGGTTGACACCCCTGCCAGACCCACGCTAACTCCCAGCACAGTGCTCCTGGGCCCGTTCACCACCTCCAAGGCACAAGGTATTTTCCAAGGAGATTGGAAGCTGTAGGTGTCATCACCTGTGCTGTATGAGATTGATTGGTACTGGCTTTCTGGATAACTCTGTGGGAAGGAGGTTGACAGTTGATTAGTGATGCCTGTCATGTGCACAGGCATGGACCAACTGCACATCCTGTTTTTATTTTAAAATTTTAATATATTCTGCAAGTCGCAATGGTACACTTGTTAAGCATTCAGCTGCTCTGCGGTTTGAACCCACCAGGGGCTCAGAGTGAGGAAAGTCCTGGTGATTTGCTCTGTAAAGATACCTCGGGACAATTCTATTCTGTCTCATGGGGCTAGTGTGAGTCAGGATTGAAGAAAGAGCCCGACTGACTAATCTTTATGGGAGCAAATCACCAGATCTTTCTCCCATGGGGAACTGCCATCAAACTGCCAGTCTTTGGTTAGCAGCCGAGTGCTCAGCCTTATCCCATCAGAAGCATCCTGTATTTATCCGTTTCCTCAGGGATCTCAGAAGCAGCTCTGGTCTCCGTCCCGTGGAGACCCATTGAGGAAAGTGGGTGGGGTTGTTCGCCGACTTCCTTCTCTGTGATGGCCTGTTGCTGGGAGACCCCAGGCCGCCCTAATGCCTCTGTTTGTCCCTCTGTGAAATGGGCTGGTAGGGTGCACATCCTCTGTCCTGGTTGCTCACACTCTGAACAGCTATACTCCCCCGCCCTCCCCTCTTGTTCTCAGCTGAGTGTGGGGCCAGGCCTGTCTTAGAGAAGCCGATCCGGATCGTGGGTGGCTTGGGAGCCGTCTCTGGGGAGGTGCCTTGGCAGGTCAGCCTGAAGGAAGGTTCCCGACACTTCTGTGGAGCCACCGTGGTGGGTGACCGCTGGCTGCTGTCCGCGGCCCACTGCTTCAACCAGTAAGACTGTGTCCCACCCTGAGGGCCACCCAGCTTCCCCACCCTAAGTCCCCCACCTAACTCATGTTCTGGGTTCACGATCCAATTGCAAACCACAGTTGCCGTTGCTAGAGAGAAGTAGCTAGGAGGCGTGATGGTTCCTGGGCAGAGTTGTCATGTAGACTGGTTAGACCCTGGGGTCCATTCCCGGCCGTTGTGCCTCATGTGCAGGCCCTACCCATCTCTCCCTGGAGGCTGCTGTGCCGCTGGGATGCTGAACAGGCTTCAATAGAGCTTTCAGACTAAGACCAGGAAGAAAGGTCTGGCAATATGTACTGAAAAATGGGGATGGTTCAGAACTGAGTAGCGTTTCATGCTGTTAAGCCTGGGGTCACCAGGAGTCAGGGCTCGCTTCAGTGGCAGCCAATAACAACAATAATTAATAATCATAATACCACAACAAAGGAGAAGAAGAGGAACTCCTCTCCCCGCCCACCCACCCCCGCCGAGCCTTAGAACCATCCTTGGATACCAATGTTGAAGAGCCCTGGCACATCATGGGTCTGCTAACTGCAAGGTCAACAGTTCAAACACACCAGCAGCTAACATACAGATTTACAGCCTCGGAAATCCCACACAGGGTTGCTGTGCATTGGAACCCACTCGATGGCAGTTGGGGGAGATACCCATGTGCTATGGCGTCGACCCCAACTCACGGCAACCCTGTGAGTGTCAGAGTAGGACTGTGCTCCAGGGAGTTTCTAATGGCTGAGTTTTCAGAAGTAGTTTGCCAGGCCTTTCTTCGGTCGCACCTCTGAGTGGACTGGAATCTCCAGTCTTCCAGTTAGCAGCCGAGTGAATCTGTTTCCCATTTGCACCCCCTGAGGACTCTGGCTTGGCCAACAGGCCTTTATCTTTGATCTGCTGTAAGCTGTAGGTTCTTAGATGCTATAGGGCCAATTTCCTCTGGATGGTAGAGCCTGAGCCCCTCTGAGGACGGGGTGCAGGTGGGGAAGGGCGCCTGAGACCCTGTCTCTGCAGTACCAGAGTGGAGTACGTGCGGGCCCACCTGGGCACAGCGTCCCTCATGGGCGTGGGCGGGAGTCCCGTGAAGGTGGACCTGAAGCGAGTGGTGTTGCACCCACTGTACCACGCGAGCACCCTGGACTTCGATGTGGCCTTGCTGGAGCTGGCCAGCCCCCTGTTCTTCAACAAGTACGTGCAGCCCATCTGTCTGCCCCTGGCCATCCACAAGTTCCCTGTGGGTCGCAAGTGCATGATCTCCGGATGGGGCAACACCCAGGAAGGAAATGGTGAGACCCGCTTGGGGCAGGGATGGTTGGATGGAGGGAGGTCTGGGGGAATGTGTCCTCCTACGTGAGGGGTTGGCGTCATCTCTCACCCACCTGACTGCACCCAACTTCCCAGTCCTAGCCCCTACACTTGCTATTGTTGTTAAATGCTGTAGAGTCAGTTTTGACTCACATCAACCCTGTAGAGGGTTTCCAAGGAGCAGCTGGTGGCTTTGAACCATCGGCCGTGTGGTTAATAGGCAAGTGCTTACCCTACAGTGACACAGGAGTTGCAAACTAAGGTCCTCAGACCAAATTCAGTCTTCAACCTGTTTGATGTTTTTGTTGATTTATTTTACTTTTTATCGTGTCTTCGGTTGAAGTTTACAGAACAAATTCATTTCCTTTCAACAATTCATCCACATTTTGTTTTCACAACATGGATTGCAGTCCCCACAGCGGAAGAGCATGCTTCCCACTTCCCCCCTGGGTTTCCTGTTTCCATTCCTCCTTCCTTCTGGTCCCTTCCTGACTTCTGAGCTTCCTCTCAGGGGCAAAAGCTGCTCTTCTGGTCTCGCAGGATTGGCTGTCTTATGGCCTACACATCTCCCGGGGGTTCCTGTGCCCCTGAAAGGCCTGTCCTTTGGTTGAAAGTTCATTCACGAGGGTGAGTTCAATTTCAGGCCTGAGGGGTGACTAACCTTGCCCCCCTCCCCATAGCCTAGGGGGTTCCCTCCCATCAGTTTCTATCCCACCGGTAAACCTGATTTTGATTTTTCTTCCACGTTTTCTCCCTCACTATCTGGAGCCCTCTAATGGGATCACTTGCAGAGCAGTTGGCAGTGGCTAGTTGTTTTGGCCTCAGGGTCAAAGAAGCTGGGGTTCATGTGGTCCTTTATTCCTTTGGATTCATTGCTTCCATATCTTTGATTTTCTTCACTCATCTTTCCATGGATGGGACGAGACCAATGGCTATACCTTCAATGGCCCCCCGCAAGTTTTTAAGACCCCAGTTACTACTCACCTTATATCCTTATAGAACATTGTCGTTGAAGACTTGGCGATGTCACTTGACCTTTGTTTCCCCAAGACTTATTCCTTCGAGGTGCTTGGTTATGGCTAAGAGCACTTCATAACTGTACCCCCTGTATGTTCTACCTCATTTTGTAAAATGCTCTCCATCTTTTTGCTTGGATCCACAATCAACACTCCTGGAAGCTTGTTGTAGTTGTTAGGGGCCATCGAGTCAACTCTAATTTATAGTGATCTTATGCACAACACAACAAAACATTGCTAGGTTCTGTGTCTCGTCCTTACAAATGTTGTTACGTTCCAGGCCACTGTTGCTTCTCTCCTGGGAGCAGCCGTCAGGAAATCAAGTGACGATGTATTGCATTAGACAAATTTGCTGCAGAAAACCTCTTTAAAGTGTTCAAGGGCAAAGATGTCAGCTTGAGGACTGAGGTGCACCTAATCCAAGCCATAGAATTTCCAGTAACCTCGTATGCTTGTGAAAACTGGACAGTGAATAAGGAAGACCATAGAAGAATTGATGCATTTGAGTTATGGTGTTGGGGGAGAATATTGAAAGTACCATGGACTTCCAGAAGAACCAACACATCTGTGTAACGTAAGAACTTTGAGAATGGTGCATAGCCGGGCATTGTTTCGTTTTCTTGTGCATAGTGTTGCTACAAGTTGGAACCGACTCGAAGACCCCTAGTATCAATACGTGCTCTGCTCTATTTGTGGTTGTATTTGAAGAACACATAAATGCTGCCCTCTGTCACACCTACATAGGAGGAGGCTTCAAAAAGTCTGTGATTCCACGCTCTTTGAAGCCCCCTTGTATATTGATGGGTATAATTCCATTCAAAAGGAACCCTGGGGTTAAGCGCTGGGCTGCTAACTGCAAGGTCAGTAGTTCAAACCCAGCAGCCACTCCATTGGACAAAGATGAGTCTGCGTCTGTAATGATTTACAGCCTTGGAAACCCCAATGAGCAGTTCCATTCTGTCCTGTACATCACCACCAACTCAATGGTAATAGATTCATCCTGACGGGAGTAGATTCTCCCTCAGAGCCACTGAGTGGATTTGAACAACCGACCTTTTAGTTAGCAGCTGAGTGCTTAACCTTTGTACCACCAGGGCTTCTAGTGGCACCCTAGGGTCCTTGTACCTACAGGGCTTTTGGGGAGGAGAATGTGGACTGCCAAAAAAAAACAAACCATCTGTTGGAAGAAGTACAGCCAGAGTGCTCCTTGGAAGCCAGGATGGCCAGACTTCGTCTCTCATATTTCAGACATATAATCCGGAGGGACCAATCCTTAGGGAAGGATACTGTGTTTGGTAAAGTGGAGGGTAGGAGAACAAGAGGGAGACCCCCAGTGAGATGAATTGGCACAGGCTCGGGTGTAACAACAATTCTGAGGTTGGCTCAGGGCCAGGCAGTGTTTCCTGCTTTGCGCACAGGGTCGCTAGGAATTGGTGCCGACTCGATGGCCCCTAACAGCCACCACCTACAGGGCTGTGTCTCATCGGGGATGAGCAGATGGAGGCACTGTGTTGCAGGGTCTCCTAAACAGGCAGGCTCTGAGGGATTAAACATCTGCTTCTTTAGACACTTTTTCAAAGACTGTCTGCTGGCATTTTGAGGCAGGTGCCAATGGGCTCCTTGGGCTGAGGGACCGCGGTTTGTTCTGATGGGATGAGCCAACAGCGCACAGAGATGGACGCACCGACACAACATCTGCCTTCGCGTTATGACGGCAGGTGTGCAGAGTTTCCACCAGACTGTGGGGCCCGGAAAGGGGAAAGCATTTCCTCTGTGGCCCTTTTATGCAGAGGTCGGAGCACTTCTTGTACTGTGCCACGCAGGAACTCCCAAACGTTAATGCGCCTTCTAACCCTCAGAGTGGAGCTCCCAGTGATGCAAACAATGAACATACTCGGCTGCTAACTGGAAGGCTGGAGTCCACTCAGATGCACCTTAGAAGAAAGTTCTGGAAATCTGTGCCCCAAAACTCAGTGACCAGAAAGCACAGGAAGAGCAGCCATCTGCCATAAACTATAGTTCCAGAGCAAAGAAGATGAAAGATAACCAAAGTTGCTAGGAGACAAGGAGTCCAAAGACTAATGGAACACACAAACCCAGCCTCCACACTCCTGAGACCAGAAGAACAAGATGGTGCCGGCTACCGCTACCAAACACTTTAATCCGGATTACAATAGGATCCTGGATAGAAAAGGGAAAAGTAGAGCAAAGTTAAAAGTCATATTAAGAGTCTTACTGGTCCATTAGTAATTCCATACATGAGCCCTGGATACCCACAGATAAATGTAAAAACCTTCCCTAAAAGCCGAGACTGTAAATTCCAAAAAGGCAAAGTTTCCCCCCGCCCAAAAAAGCTAAAGAGGATAGAGAGAAACTCTGTTAACTGATGGTATATGGAGGGGATTATAATCAATGTAATGAAACAAGGTATATGAATGTTTGAATGTGAAACCGATGATGTGCCCTGAAAACTTTCACTCAATCCACAATAAAAACCTTAAAAAAAAAAAAAAAAAAAAAAAGTCTTACTGATCCAATGGAGTCAGACTCCCTGAGAGCTGAACCCACCCCGGGACTCACCCATCAGTCAAACACACTTATAACGTGAATAGTAACACTAACGAGGAACATGCTCCAACCAACTACACGAGACCAAAAGGGTAGCATTTGCCCCAAAACAGAACTCAGGAGACAAACAGGGGCAGGAGAGCTGAAGGGAAGAGTATGTGGCATGGAGGGACTGGCAGACAATGTCAGGAAACAAACTGTTTATGGATTGTTGTTGTTGTTGTTGTTGTTGTTGTTGTTGTTAGGTGTCATCAAGTCAATACCAACTCATAGCAACCCTACGTACAACAGAACGAAACACCGTCCAGTCCTGGGCCAACCTCACAATTGTTGCCACACTTGAGGCTTGCCAATCCATCTCGCTGGAGGTCTTCCTCGTTTTCTCTGACCCTCCACCTTACCAAACATGATATCCTTCTCCAGTGACTGGTCCCTCCTGACAATATGTCCAAAGAATGAGAGACTAAGTTTGGTCATCCTGGCCTCCAAGGAGCACCCTGGCTGCACTTCTTCCAACACAGATCTGTTGGTTCTTTTGGCAGCCCATGGCACTTTTCAATATTCTCCTCCAACACCGTAATTCAAAAGCATCAATTCTTCTATGGTCTTCCTTATTCACTGTCCAGCTTTCACATGCATATGAGGTTATTGAAAACACCATGGCTTGGGTCAGGCTCACCTTAGTCCTCAAGCTGACATCTTTGCTCTTCAATACTTTAAAAAGTTCCTGTGCAGCAGATTTGCCCAGTGCAATACGTCGTCTGATCTCTTGACTGCTGCTTCCACAAGTGTTGATAGTTGATCCAAGAAGAATGAAGTCCTTGACAACTTCAATCTTTTCTCCATTGATAAGGATGTTGTTTATTGGTCCAGTGGTGAGGATTTTTGTTTTCTTTGCATTGAGATGCAATCCATACCAAGAGCTGTGCTCATTGATCTTCATTAGTAAATATTTTAAGTCCTCTTCACTTTCAACAAGCAAGGTTGTATCATCTACATATCGCAGGTTGTTAATGAGTCTTCCTCCAATCCTGATGCCACGTTTTTCTTCATAGAACCCTGCTTCTCAGATTATTTGCTCAGCATACAGGTTGAATAAGTATAGTAAAAGAATACAACCTTATTGCACATGTTTTTTTAATTTTAAACCATTCAGTGTTTCCATGTTCTGTTTGAACAACTGCCTCTTGGTCCAGGTACAGATTCCTCATGAGCACAATTAAGTGTTCTGGAATACTCATACTTCTCAATGTTGTCCATAGCTTGTCATGATCCACACAGTCGAAAGCCTTTGCATAGTCAATAAAGCACAGGTAAACATCTTTCTGATATTCTCTGCTTTCAGCCAAGATCCATCAGACATCAGCAATGATATCTCTCGTTCCACGGCCTCTTCTGAATCCATCTTGTACCTCTGGAAGTTCTCTGTAAATGTATGATTGTAGCCGTTTCGGTATCATCTGTTGCTGTTGTTAAGTACTATTAAGTGTGTTCTGATTTATAGTGACCCTGTACAGGGTTTCCAAGGAGCAGCTGGTGGGTTTGAACCACTGATCTTGTGGTTTGCACTCTAGTGTTGATCCTACCGTGCCACATCAAGAATCCATGAATTACTGACTAGAAAAGCAACTTGCTCTGACAACTTCAACCTAAATTGCAATGAAAACTTCAGACAATTAAAGAGCATATAAAACCATGAAAAATAGAAAGGCCCCTCTGACACGCATGGGGTCGCCAGGAGTAGGGTGGACTTGGTGACAACCTCTGAGTGACTGTCCCACCTACAAGACATCCTGTGTGCTGCAGCTGCCTCCCTCGTGGGGCAGGGCAGGACCTCAGGGTGGGCTCGGGGCAGGGACTCATGCGTGACCTTGCACCAGTGCCTACAACTCTCGGAGCCCCATCTCTCTATCTGGCTCCCAGGGTTGTTTGCAGAGTCCCACTTGGTATGAACGGCCCCTCTGTAAGCAGTATGTTGAGGGTCTCCTATCACTTGTAGCCACCAAGCCCGACGTTCTACAGAAAGCCTCGGTTGGCATCATAGACCAGAAGACGTGCAGCGTCCTCTACAACTTTTCCCTCACAGACCGGATGATCTGTGCCGGCTTTCTCGAAGGCAAAGTCGATTCCTGCCAGGTGGGCTTCCCATGGGGCAGGCGTGTGTTGCTGGTTTTGTTGTTAGAGCTGTTCTCAGGCCAGCCCTATTCAGGAGGACCCCACACACGACAGAACTGAGCTGAGTTTTGGAAGTAGATCACCAGGCCTTTCTTCCTAGTGCCTCCTAGTCTGAAGCTCTGATGAGAGCTGTTAGGCACCCCAGCAACACGTGAGGTTCCACTGACAAAGCGGTGATGGCCATGTATGAAATGGGTTGGCCCGGGATTGAACCTGAATCTCCCACATGGAGGCCAAGAATTCTACCACCGCCCCACCACTGCCCCCTGGTGGTGATGTAGTTAAGTTCCTACTCATGTTGCTACCTCTCCCACATGGAGGCTAAGAATTCTACCACTGCCCCACCACTGCCCCCTGGTGGTGATGTTGTTAAGTTCCTACTCATGTTGCTACCTCTCCCATATGGAGGCCAAGAATTCTACCACCGCCCCACCACTGCCCCCTGGTGGTGATATTGTTAAGTTCCTACTCAGGTTGCTGCTACCTGCTGTTCAGTAGGTTCCTACTCATAGTTCCCGAGGACTGGCTGCTGGGTTTGAACCGCCCACCTTGTGGTTCACAATCCAGTGCGGATCCTACAGCGCCACACCATGAATGCATCACTGGTGGGATGCTGTTGAGTCGTTGAAATGCCGTTCAACTCATAGAGACCCTAATGAGCAGCTGGTGGGTTTGAACCACCAACCTTGTGGTTGGCAGTCCAATGCTTATCCTACAGAGCCATACAAGGCGATGATGAATGGTGGTTAATTTTAGGTAGTATGAACACTCATGATGATGAATTTTTCCTTTTGAGTTTTTTGCATTTTTTAAAAAAACTTGAAAGCAAAAAAAAACAAGAGGGGTTTAGGGGTGGCCAACCAGCCCTCCTTCCTTGCTTTTCAGGGTGACTCCGGGGGGCCCCTGGCCTGTGAGGAGACCCCTGGCGTCTTCTACCTGGCGGGTATCGTGAGCTGGGGGATTGGTTGTGCCCAGGCCAAGAAGCCAGGTGTGTACACACGGGTCACCAGGCTCAAGGGCTGGATTCTGGAGACCATGTCTTCTGAACCTCTCCCCACGGCTCCCCCTTCGACCACGAGAATCTCCACCACCTCAAGCCACCCCCTGAAGACAACTGCTGGCTTCACAATCCCGGATGTCGTCACCACCACACCCCAGTCCACCAACACCACTGTCCCTGTCCCGAGCACCGCCACCACGAGGCAGACATCACCGCCAAACACCCTGGAGACCAGCACCCCACCCCAGCTCTCAGGTACGGTGGATTTGGGGTGACGTGTGGGGGGAACCCATCAGTGCCCCACCCTGCAACCCAGTCTTCTCCCACTTAAGGCAGCTCAGTGGGGGCATGGGAAAGCCTGTGTGGGCAGGGGTCTCCTTGTGGGGTGACTTATAGAGGCCCCCACTGGGTGTCACGCACTGCCCCAAGCTGGAGACAGTTTGGGGGTTCTTGGGGGGAAGGTTGTAGGAATCGATATGATGGTCAAGACACAAGTAACAGCAAGACGTCAAGGGGTCCCTGAGCGATCCAAGTTCACCTGAAAGTTGGCAGCTGGAAGAAAGGGTTGGAGATGTTTCTCAACAATCCGCCGCTGAAACCCTGTGGGACATTGTTCTCTGATACACGTGGGACCGCCATAAGCTGGGATCGATTCAGTGACAACTTTTTTTTTAGTTAAGCATGAAAAGAAGATAAGATAATAAAGAAGGGAAGAGGCAGAGGCCAGGGGTCAGCAGATCCATCGGCTCTGGTTACGGGTGTGAAAGGCTTACCTGTGGACCTGTGGGCTGAACTCAGGCAACTGGCTGAAGTCCAGTCAAGTGTGCTGGTAATTGGGAGTCATGTGAACATGTTTTTAAGATCACCCAACACCCACAGCCCAGCAGCCCTGTCTACGATGCTGGTGGGCAGTGGGGGCTCAGGCCTTCTGTATGGGAGACCCGGCTTCAGTTCCTGGCCAATATACCTCACACACAGCCACCTAACCTTCCCACCTGTCAGTAGAGGCTTGCATGATGCCATGATACTAAACAGCTTCCTGATTAAGATTAGGAAGAAAGGTCTGGTGATCAACTTTCCAAAGTTGCTAACAAATACCCTGTGGATCTCGATGGTCCATGCCACAATCAGATCTTGGGGAAGGAGCAGGGCTGGTGGGCAATGTTTCTTTTTGCTGACACCCGTAACAATAAGGTGGGATTTAAACGAAGTGGGGTTTCAATAGGCTCAAAGCAAAGCCAAACTAAACATAAGGGGTCAGCATCGGGTCTGGACTGAGATGCAGGTCAAATGCTGTTCCCTGGAAACCACCAAGATAAGAGAGATGTAGGATGTGGGGGGTCCCGAAACCCCTTGTCTGAAAGGCTATACTTGGAATCAACACCAAGAGGCATCTTTGTGATTCAGTTCTGTCCGGCAAAAGACAGCCAAATGAAAACAGTTGGCTTCAAGTGGACCCCCAAGTCACGGCGACCCCATGCGTGTCAGAGTACATTTGTGCCCCATAGGGTTTTCAATGTCTGTGATATTTTGGAAGTGGCCAGGCCTTTCTTCTGCAGTGCCTCTGGGTGGACCCGAACCACGTTCACTATTTGCACCACCCAGGCATAAGAAGAATTGAATTCAATTTTGGATGGTTTCTACTAACCACATTTCTGAGGGTCTCTGATACCAGTGAAGTCATTTGTCACTGAGTCAGAAAGCAGTAACCAGGGGCGAGATGGACATCTTTTCATACACTCTGTCTGTGGGTGGGATACTACATCTGTGCACATTGTAGCTGGTGTTATCTCAAAATCCTCCCACCCTGGGGAGTTACTTTCTGATTCTGGGCTGATTGTTACTTTTTTAACAGAGTTACGGCTTGGGTGTTTTTTTGTTTTCTTTTCAATAATGAACTTGTGGAAATCTGTAAGGTCAGTTTCCAATCTGACCTTTCGTGTTACTGATGTGAATTGGACCCCACACACTCGTTTATTGCACCTCCCAAATACTGTGTGTAAATGTTCATTTTCTTAAACCAAATTCAAGGTCTGTGGCAACCCTGTGTCCAGCAAGTACATAGACACTGTTTCCCAAAAGTATGTGCTCACTTGGTGTCTCTAAGTCACATTGTGATCATTCTCACCATATTTCAAAATTTTCCATTAATGCTTGGTTGTTGTTGTTGTTGTTAAGTGCTGTGGAGTCAGTTCTGACACATAGTGACCCTGTAAAGGGTTTCCAAGGCTGTAAATCTTTATGGGAGCAGAAAGCCTCATCTTTCTCCCGCAGAGCAGCTGGGAGTTTCAGACTGCTGACCTTGCGGTTCACAGCCCGATTCGTAACCACTACGACGTTACCAGAGCTCGGTTCTGGCACACAGCAACCCTACACACAACAGAACAAAACTCTTCCCAGTCCTGTGCCAGCCTCACAATTATAGTAAAGTTTGAGCCCAATGCTGCTGCCACTATGCCAATCCATCTCATTGGGGTCTTCCTCTTTTTCGCTGACCCTCCACTTTACCAAGTATGATGTCCTTCTCCAGGGACTGGTCTGAAGTATGAGAGACATCTTGGCTTCTGAAAGCATTCTGGCTGTCCTTCTCCCGACCGTTTAGAACGCTGTTGCTCTCTTACTATAGACTACAGCTTAACTTTTATATGTACTGGAAGCCAAACAAATTCCTGTCACTCAGTATTTACTGCAATAGTCACTGTATTGCAACGGTTTGGAATCGAACCTGCAGTAGCTCAAAGATCTGCCTGTAGGCAGCTCTTACAAGAGCACAATGCTCAAGGCAGAAGCCCTTTACTAATCAAACCAAACTATTGTCTGGTGTAAGGAGCTCTGGTAGCGTAGAGATTACAATCGGGCTGCGAACCGCAAGGTCAGCAGTTCGAAACTATCAGCTGTTCCGTGGGAGAAAGATGAGGCTTTCTGCTCCCGTGAAGATTCACAGCCTCAGAAACCCTGTACAGGGTCGCTCTGAGTCGGAACCAACTCCACGGCACATAACAACAACAACATTGTCTGGTGTAAAAAGAGTTTGGGGATAGCTTTGGTTTAAGGTTTAAAGACGATCGCAGTGCAACGGTTTCAGGGGCTCATCCAGCTTCCAGGGTTCCATAAAGTCTGGATTTCATGAAAATGTGAAATTCGGTTCTCCATTATACCCCTCTTTTGATCAGGGGGAGTCCTGGTGTGGCACTGTGGCTAATGAACTGCAAGGTCGGTGGTTCAAGCCCACCAGCTGCTCCTTGGAAACCCTATACAGGGCCGCTATGGGTCGGAATCCTCTCAATGACATTTAACAACAACAACAACTTTGATCAGGGAGTTCTTAACTTGGGGGTCACAAAGCAGTGTAGAAAGACCCCTGCAATGGGAGGCTGGGTTCAGGGCGAAGGTGGACTTTTCTAGAGAGACGGGCTATGGTGTCCATTGGATTCCCATGGGCCCTCACTGGTTACCTAGTCTTCTTGTTGCTAAGTGCCATCGACTTGGTTCCAGCTCAGAGCGACCCTGTATAGGATTTCCAAGGAGCAGCTGGTGGGTTTGAACCACTGACCTTGTGGCTAGCAGTCCAGTGTTTACACAGTACCACACCAGTACCCCAAGATGGACTATAGGGGCTAGGATTTACAACACAGATATTGGGGAGACACAGTTGAACCCATAATACCTGCCAACCTTTATATATTGAGACTGGAGCAACACGGCAGGTAGAATTGGGGGTTAGGAATGAGGGTGGGAGAAGGGGACCCATTCCAGAAGAGATTATTGAATGGGAACCTGGGAGCCCGGAGTCCTGGTGTGGTGCTGTGGGCTAATGTGTCAGACTGCAGAGTCATTTGAACTGCAAGGTCGGCGGTTCAAGCTCACCAGCTGCTCCTTGGAAACTCTATACAGGGTCACTATGGGTTGGAATCGACTTGACGGCACTTAACAACAACAACGTGGGTGCCCTGAAGAATGATGAAGGTGGTCACTGCAATGCCCTTTAAAACTGCCTGATCCTTCTCTCCATAAACTGTGTTCTAAGAGGACACTTTGTGGTGGCAGATCTTCGGTGGGGCTCGCAGTCTGAAAGCAGCTCCAAAGGCAGGATGCTGCATCCTGAAAGGGCCTTGGAGAGACTGACTGGAACCCGGCCAGGGGCCTCCCAGGCATGGGTAGTGGTTTGGGCAAAGGCGCAGTCCAGAGGCCTGGAGGACATGGTGACTGTGGGAAAGAACCTTGACCCTGCCTGGGTCTGGGATGGAGAGGAGGCGGCCCAGTCCCAGTTACTTCTAAGAAACAAAACCCCCTGCTGTCCAGTCGATTCTGACTAAGACAGAGTTGTTCAGTTCCGACCCATAGCGAGCTTGTATAGGGTTTCCCAGGAGCAGCTGATGAGTTTGAACCGCCGACCTTGCAGTCTGGCGCCTTAACCCCCAGCGCCACACCAGGATTCCTAAGACAGAGTAGAATCGCCCAATAGGGTTTCTGGAACTGTAAATCTTTATGGGAGCAGTCTCACGTTCTCCCGCGGAGAGGCTACTGGGTTTGAACCTCCGATGTTGAAGTCAACAGCCCAATACAACTTCTAATGTGATTTGAAAGAAGCCCGGAAACGCTGGTTTGTAGGAGCGAGTGGCAGACCCAGCTCCCGGGGGCTTCCTGCGCCGAGGAGGCGCCCGCCCACCTCCCGGCTCCCTCCCTCCCTCCCTCCTGCAGACTGCGGCCTGGCGCCGGCGGCGGCACTGACTCGGATCGTGGGCGGCAGTGCGGCGGGCCGCGGCGAGTGGCCGTGGCAGGTGAGCCTGTGGCTCCGGCGCCGGGAACACCGCTGCGGCGCCGTGCTGGTGGGCGAGAAGTGGCTGCTGTCGGCGGCACACTGCTTCGACGTGTAAGCCCGCCCTTCCCCTCCCGCTGCCCCAGGTCCCCACAGCCCCTAGACCACACTGGGACGGGGGACCGGATCCAATTCCATGGCTCCCATCAAGTCCGGGGACGAGGGGGCGGGAGGCGGGCATGGATCAGATGCTGCAAAGTCCCTCCGAGTTGGTTCCAGCCTCCAAAGGGTCCCTGGTGAGACGTCATCACACCCCGACCCCCCACCAAGGGCCCCTTCCCGGCAGGACACTTAATGGGGTGGATCTGACCAAGGGTCTAGGGAGGAGGCGTGTATGAATTCCCTTTTTAGCCCCAGTGCACCAAAGAGCATCCCGAAGTCGAGCAGAGTCCAGTGCTTAGAGCAAAGGCCTGGGGGACACTGCCCGGTGGGACAGGTCAATGTGACGCCTACGCTGTACCCGCAGCTACGGGGACCCCAAGCAGTGGGCGGCTTTCCTGGGCACGCCTTTCCTGGGCGGCGCGGACGGGCAGCTGGAGCGTGTGGCACGCATCTACAAACACCCCTTCTACAACCTCTACACGCTCGACTACGATGTGGCGCTGCTGGAACTCGCTGGGCCCGTGCGCCACAGTCGCTTGGTGCGGCCCATCTGCCTGCCTGAGCCTGCGCCCCGGCCTCCCGCAGGAGCGCACTGTGTCATCACCGGCTGGGGCTCCGTACGCGAGGGAGGTAGGCAGGGATCGGGGAGGTCAGACCCAGGGGAGCCCCAGCCCAGGACTCGCGGGAATGATGCTGGATCTCTGGAGGGTGTCTCCGTGGCCCCACCTGCCCCGTGTCGCTCACAGGCGCGATGGCGCGGCAGCTGCAGAAGGCAGCCGTGAGACTCTTGAGCGAACAGACGTGCCGCCGCTTCTACCCGGTGCAGATCAGCAGCCGTATGCTGTGTGCCGGCTTCCCGCAGGGTGGTGTGGATAGCTGTTCGGTAAGCTCCGTGCCCCGCCACCCTGGCACACAGCTGCCCGCCCACACCATGTGTGCTCACTTAGTACCAAGGCCTCGCACAGCCCCGTCCCTCCAATGCCCACCAGTCGACCGGACTCAAGGCCCTGCCGCTCTAAGTGCAGCCTTTGAACCAAGCAGAGCCCCTTCCCGTCTGGGAAGATTACTGGCCACCACTGTTTATTGGGCAGTCCCCACCCCACGCACTCTGGGGT